CCCCAAAACCCCAAAACCCCATGTGGCTATATCAATAAAGTATAAGTTCATATAAAATTTAAGAAATGACTTAACTAAAAAATTTTTTATTAAAAATATTATTTCAAATCATAAGCTATTAGGATATCCCATTCAATTAGAGGTTTTAAGAAGTTTATTTTCTCTAATTAGTGATTCATAGAGAAAAATCTAATCACATTCTTCTTCTTAATCAGATACCATAATGGAATTATACAAGAAATATCCAGCTTCTGTCTCAATTCGAATTAACCGTTTTTTAGGAACTTTAACAAGCTAAATCCCTTGAATAACTCCATCTATTGCTTCTGAGTCAATGTTGCTCAATTGCTTGATAAATCTATCTCTTAGGGTAACTTAATCTGCCCTCACACCTTTAGTGATATAGTGTGTTTTATTTAGTTTTTATCTTACGAGAATACATTAGTTTGGAGTGGCTGTGATGTACACCATCTAACTCTTTGAGTCTCCTATTTTGATTTTTATACAATCTACTTCATCCTCATTGCTCTCAACATCAAATCAAGTGACTTTTGTCGCTGCTTTAACATGAGGCTTATATCCAGGTTCAGTCTCAGTAGTCCAAATAAAATCACCAACATTCACTTATTCTAGATTAGTTGAAATGTAATTCTTTCCATCGATCATTATTTTCAAAGTGAAACTCCCATCCATGTATTTAGAATTTATTCAGAGTATTAGTATCATCAGAGTAATCAAAATAATTCTAGAAAGTTCAACATTAGTAACCATATTCAAATCTCAAGCTAAGGTAGGTAAAATAAATATCAAAATTATAAATAAATGCTTTCCAAGAGCGTAATGATTGCTTCTCATCTTGGCAAAATATGTATATTTGACTCATAAACAAATATTTATGTGCAATCTCCTTCTTCATCAGATACAATGAGCATATCCTAGATAAAATATCCTAAATCAGTTTTTATACTATAAAGCTTTCTCTTTTCTATTTCTACTCTTGCTATTCCACTAATGTAACTTTCTACTGGATCCAATGATATTGAATTTAGTTCCTTTACAAATCTATCTCTTAAGCTTATCTGATCTGCCCTAATTCCTCGAACCACTTGATGGGTTCTATTTAGTTTGATTATGACAAGAAGGCACTGGTCAAGAGTAACTGTGATTTCATTGCTGCAATTCGATTCATCTCTAAAAATAAATTGAAGACACTGTACCTTCTCTTCAGTTTCTGGAAATTTTTTCAATGTGTTTATTTTTGTAAATCCTGATTTTGAGTGTTTGTAACCTGGGAATGTATCAGTTGTTTGAAGCCAATCACCAACTTTTATTAGAGTATAATTAGCAGGAGTAGATGTCGTATATCGTTACTATTTCAGTAAAAAGCCTGAGTCAATAAACATTGAACTGGATTTATCAATTGCAAGCAAAAGACCTAGTGTAAAATACAGGAGTTGAAACTTTTAAAATGCCATATTAAGGAATTTTATAAATTAATATGTATTAATTTTAAATTAGATCTGCTATAAAGCTTTATAAATTCTATATTTTGCTTTTAAAGCTGAAAACTTTTTCCATATTTCATCTTGCGGGGTTTTGGGGTTTTGGGG